AGGAGAGTAACACAATAATAATAAAATAAAAGCAACAATGTAGAAGAAAGAGGTTAATGGTGAATTAGTTAAAATAGAAAATTTGAAAACTTTAAAGTTTCTTCCTCTTTCTCTCCCTTTATTTTTTCAGTCGAACCGTAAAGATTTAAAAAAAATCGTGTTTATCTAAAAAAAATTTTTTTTACGATTTTTGAATTCTTTTTTTTTTGTAAAGAAAAAGAGATTTTGTGCCCATCAATCAATCAATCGATCCATATAATAAATAAAATGATCGAGTTTTTTTCGTAATCTCGAATTGTCGTAATAAACAAATTTCAATGCGTCTCGCTTTAAGGCTTCAAACTGTAGATAATTTCACTATCATAATTAAAATTTGAATTCGTTCGTTTTCGTTACAATTACCTGTTAAAATTAATAAATTATAAAAATTCAAATTCAAAATTTCGAATTTTTAATTTTTTTTTAATTTTAATTTTTTTAAAATTTTTAAAATTTTTAACAACAAAAATTACCATTAAAAAATTTTTAAATAATTTAAATCTTGATAATAATTATTCATTCTTTTCTCTTCTTTCTACCTAAAATTAGTTAAAAACCTCAAACCAAAGTAAAAAAAACCAATAACAACAATAAAACCAAAACAAAATTATCATCTTATAATAATATAAAAATTTCAAAAAAAAAAGTTGAGTGAAACATCTTAAATTGATTTTTTGTACAAGAAGATAAACAAATTTATTACCCGCACATGTAAATGAAGTTGAACCTTCATTAATAAGAATACTTTCTTCAGGTGTGGGCTTGTATACTTCAAATCTTGCTCGTTTTGAATTTGGTTCTTTTGGTTTTTTGGGGTAAAATATCATAATTATAGCTATATTGTAATTATAACTTTAGAACAAACATTCTACTACCTTTTTCAATCGATTCATCTTCTGCTGCTCTAATATCAGCAAGCTTTTTTATCTCTTCAAATTCAAAGTCATAAATATAATTATTACATTCAAAACAATACACATATAATCTTTTCACATCGGTTGCTAT